GTACAAGGAGGCTCGGTAGGTTTAACGTTAAACTATGACATGAACAATGAAATCAGTATAAAATGAAAAGTAAGCATTCCCAAGGAAATGAACAAATGAATTACGACTTAAATACCTCGACTCTGAGCAGATAGCTGTCAATATCGTCCGGCCGCTGCCAGACAGCGGTGACGTTAAGTTCCCCCGTCAGCCTGTAGCCAACGTCATCGCTGGATCTCGAGGGCACGGCCTCGCTGAACAGCAAGGTCGTGGTCAGCTTATACTTTAACCCGGTGCCAATGTGCCATCCTCTGGTCGCACCTGCCACCGCTGCAACAACGATAATCGCGACCATCCTACTGTATTTAATAGACATGGTTGGTACACGGTTTTCATTTATCATTACGGGCGACCACGCGAGCGTGCGGCGTTATCTTTAAGCAGAGGAAAAACTACTACGACGAGTTTTAATTTTCGAACGCGTGGTAGGGACGGTGGCTACGCTTTGACTGACTCGCTTTATATCAGTCGGTAGCAAAGCAGATACAGCCTATACATATAAGGCTTAACTGCTGAGTGGCTGAATAATCATGGGACATACTTGAGCATATCGTTTGGGACAATGAGCGAGCGTATACAAACCACACGCTTTGTCAGCCGGTATCAATAAACATACAAAGTTATTCGAATGGTTAGCATAAGAACTTGAAGAATTCGTGGACACAAATTATGTCTATTAAATAGAATACGGAGCGTAAAATTGTCAAAGACCTTATAAATCATAATAGGAACTGTAATTTGTAAATTTCTCATAAATTATATTTAATTTTTACTGTATTCTAATCTCACTTGTTAAGTTGTTGACCTAATTTTTTACTAATTACTGTATTCCAAACGAGTGAATGTAGAAGATAATTTACCTGGTGCCATTTGACAGTAGGGCCCTGAAAAAGAAAAAAAATTGACATTTATTAAGATTGTAATAAACGAAGCCAGCTGGGCGTTGATGTCGCTTCGTCTAGGCAAATTTCGTGTTGATTTACTTGCCAATTACAGTGCTAGCTTTATCCCGTTATCAGAAGTACGAAGACGAAGTGTTAAAAGCATTGCGAGAGTACGAGCTACAGGGGGAATGCGTCAGACATGTACTAATTGCGAGTTTCGAGCTCTTTCTTACTCATTCTACTTATAGACACAAATACAAGTAATGATAACAAGCCTGAAATATAGGTGGATATAAATATCAACAATTGTTATTTCAAGCGTTGACAAGAATTGAAACAAGTGCACACGTTTGCTTTCCGAGTTATCGAACTACTTTCTGTCTAGGATTGATCTAAGAGTTAAATTTAAATACTAATAAACGTGTTTATTAAATTTTCAATATGTTAAACTGGTACAGTAAATAGAGACTCCTTAAGCCGATTGAAATATTTTTTACAAATACAATCTATTCGACGGTTCTTTAAACTATTATAATCTATTTCCTATGTAGAATTGATCTAAAAGATGTAGATCAAGCTGAAGTATTAAATTTGTGAAATAGCAATGGAATTCTGTCTGATTCGAAACTGGCACAGTGAACGATCGTTTTCGAATTTGATTAAAATGTTTCCTACAGATCTGTTTGAACGCAAGCTGAATGACGACAAGCGCATGTCTTCGAATAAAGTTCAGGGATACCATTCTCGACTAGTAACTCACCGAAAAGCGCGAGAACGTATAAGAGGCGAACCGTGAGCATGGTAACCGGTGTTTCCGGGCAGGCCATCCTCCGTATCGTTCCTCGAGCGTCCACGTAACCACTACACCTGTTCACTTATAGCTTCCCGTATTCGAAATTCGAATCCGCCTGTCCTTATGCGCGAGTACACACGAGCAAAATTGCGTTCATGGATGCGTGGTCGTGATCGGGGTAGACTGAAACTATAGGAACACCGCGACCATTCTCTCACAATTTCTTCCCCTCCTCTTTTCCATCCAGGAAAGAATTACTCCCTCCACCCGCGGCGATACAAGCAGAGTTAGCGATGGGTTCAACGCCGGCTTGAATTCGCTTCGGAATACTCAGGATGTCTGGCTGAATGTGTGCCAGTTGAAAGGAACTCGCTTGGAACGGGTCCTTTTTTTCCGACGATTTTGCTTGTTTTAATCCGAGCTGGAATCAGGCCAGGAGATAGAACATGTTACGCCCAGTAGCCACTTGTGTCGTATTTAATTGTATCGTTTCGCCGTTGCTACATCGTGCGTCAAAATCGATTTTTATCGTTCCTACAATACCATGTTATTAGATGATACGTAACGGCGATAAAATGCAAGTGGCTAAGGAGCTTCAGGAATATAAATTTATTTAGAAACGATCGAATTTTTCAAATGTTTATAGTTGTAATGAATTTCAAAATAGCCAATAATATAGCCACTTCTTGGTACTTATTGAAGTTTGTCTATTCAAAAAATTGTTAGAATGTCAAGATCATAATGTCGATAAGTTTCATTGTCTAATCCGTTTCGAATAGGTGCACGTGCAGTTTTGTGTTTAAGTCTAGTTGACTTATGTACCTAAAATTGAACCTGTAAGTTTAATAATGAACGAGTGCCACACTGGAGCTAATTATAGGCAATTTAACATTTTTCAAGGATCTTCTACGTTACAATAAATTCTTAAAAAAAATATGACAGTCTTAAGAACATCATTTGCATTCTTTACCGTATTTAATCTTCACTTCTTAATTTACATTGGATATTATTTTCCTATATGAATTTCTGTTATTTGTTAGAAGCAGGAAAATGTATATCGCAATTGACAGTTTATTGGAGCAAACAAACTGAGCGAAGAGAGTATTTAAACACACGATTAACATATAAGACTGAATGACCCTGGGAACTTTCCTTATCGGTTTACTGATATATCGTTAGCTGACCTCTACTTCATGTAAGATGACCTAAATGACTCCTTTTTATTCGTCCAACTTCATTCTGCACGATTTTCAGTACCATAGAAGACCTCAATTAATACACGCATATTTATAATAAACTTATATGTATATACAATAGAAAATATG